GCCCCCCACTTTACCAAACATGGTGTCCCTTTTCCAGAGAGGGGTCTCTCCTGAAAACATGGCATACATGTGGGAAACAGAGTCTCTTCACAGTAGAGCCTTCTGGGCTGTACTTCTGCCAACACGATCTGTTTGTTGTGCTGGCAGTCCTGGTACCTCGTCTCTACCCCGCACTTCAGCGGCATCCGTTCTTCCGGCTTCCCGATTCACGGTTCAACTTTCACATGCGTGTGAAACTACTGAAAGTACCACGGGGCGGACAGCCAGCCTTTCTCTTCAACACTGTAAAGAGATCCAGAGCAGACATTCCCAGTTTCTTGACTGTGCTTCTAGGAGCATTCAGTGTGGATCTGGGCAAAGGAGATGTTAACATTTTCCTTTTTGTTTGTTTGTTTATCGTGATATTGTGTACTGGTCCTGTTGTGAGCATGTTTGTTTTCTTTACAGCAAGTTGCAATCCACACTGAAGGCTGTAGTCTTTGATCTTTATTAGCAAGTGCTTCAAGTTCTTGTTTTCATGAAGCAAAGTTGTATCATCTGCATCTCACAGGTTAATAAACCTTCTTCCGATCACAATGCTGAGTTCTTCATAGATCCAGCTTCTCCGCATCCAGATCGACTAAGCGTGGTGAGAGGACATAACCCTGACACACACCTTTGCTGACTTCACCAGGCAGGATTCCCTAGTTGTGTTCGAATGACTGCCTCTTGGTCCATGTATACTTTCCACATGAGCGCAATGACGTGTATTCACCTCAAGGCTATCCATATAGTTTGTTATGATCCATACAAATGCCCTCAGTCAATGAACGCCAAGTCCACATTTTCCTGGTATTCTTTGCTTTCAGCCAAAACACACCTGACGTCAGCAATGACAACCTTAATTCCACGTCCTCTTCTGAATCCAGCTGGGATTTCTGGCAGCTCCCTGTCCCTGTACTACTGCAGCCAATTCTGAATGATGCAGCATAATTTCACTTGTGTATGATATTAATGATAATTGTTAAATAATTTCCACGTTCTGTTGGGTCCCCTTGTTTGCAATAGACACAAACTTGGCACTCTTCCAGCCAGCTGGCCAGGTAGCCGTCTTCCAAAGTTCCTGGCATAGACTCGTGAGTGCTTCCTGCGCTCCAGCAGCTTATGGAAACATTTCCATTGATATGCCATCAATTCCTGGCGCCTTGCTTTTTGCTAAAGCCATCAGAGCAGCTTGGGCTTCCTTCAGTACCATTGATTCTTGCTCTTATGCTACTTCTTGAAAGGGGTGAGCCTCGACCAGTTCTTTCTGGGACAGTGACTCTGTGTATTCCTTCCATCTTCTTTTAATGCTTCCTGCATCATTCAGTCTTTTTTTTATATAATCAC